AGGATATGCGTAAATGTCGTGTTCCTTGGCTGAGAGCAACAGCGCGCGTAGTCACAGATTATTCAACCCACTCAGGATGACCCACTGCAGCCTACAAACACACGATCTTTCACGACGGTGAGACCGTATACAGCACAGTGAACACATAGGCTTGCTGGCGACAGTGACCTAGTTCTATGTTTAGCTGTATAACATCACAGTGACGCTGGTTGGGGGGTAAAAACTAGGTTATACAATTAATGTTAATGTATTACTACAAGAGTATGCTTGTAAAATATATCAGTCAGTTAGACACAATTGCAAGCGACTAACTGCAAGTGAATTTAGTAGTGAAAACGAACATAAAATATTGTTAAACCATGTCAATCCCATAACCGAATAGCGGCTCGTACCCCTCTAGAAGGATTTTATATTGATGCATAACTTTACTTAAAACATGATGAAAACTTTATAAATGACGAATATTTTCACATAACATACATCGAGAGGGATACGCGTATGTTAGAAAGAGACGTGCGATAACAAATGTTTAACACGGTGATTGTAAAATACTATACTGCAGAAAACAGTAACGGATAAGGTTATAAGTGGTGTTACCTTTCAGCAGAGCTCAAAACAAAACAAAAAATTTTAAATAAAAAAAATAAAAAATATGAACATACTTAAGCAAGACTGTTCGTTGACAATCAACTTTCGCGATGGTGGTAGGTGAATTAGGTCTTCACAGCTAGTCTCGCCTCCTCTGATGAGCTTCAAAATAATTTCACATATGCGAGTGTCATCATCGAAACACTCGCTTGCTACATGATACAGTCAAATCCCGATGAGTCGAATGCCGGTGTCTCGAATATTATGCATAACACGAAGTACCTGTCGGTCCCGACCATTCCCTGCTATTGTTGTCATCATTTGATTCCCGGTGACACGAATTCGTCTCATAAATACACACGATGACTCGAAATGGAAATTTGGTCCCATGAGATTCAAACAATAGTAATCTTGTATACATAAGCCGAAGTCAGTCAATGAGAAGTTAATTGGTGTTGCTATCTGATCCAATTAACAAACCGGCGCGGCTCGCACCTTTCCGCTATTGTCGGGTGAGTTCAAAAGGCAGATTAGTGATTTTTAGATATGATGTGCTGAATAAAGGAATCGTTCAATATTCAATCATCTTTTTTTTTTCTATCCTCATAGACATACCTATGTCTCGAATACATCGATAAGCCGAATCTTTTACTTGGTCCCCAACGATTCGACTCATCGGGATTTGACTGTACATGCAATCAGTGAAGTTAATTATTCACAAGTGTATCAAAATGAAATAGCATCGTTATCAACTTAAAGTACATTTTGATATCATCATCAGCAGTAAGGTAAATTTGATACGTATTTGCAACGAGGGGAACAATGACACATCAAGTACGATACGTCCTTTTCGTCCATGGAGGACAATCGTTTTAACAGTTGGGTAAGGGTTTCCGTGGATGTGCGTCAGGGTGCTTTTCTCAATAGGACCTCAGTCCAAGTGGTGCGCTTTAAGAAGTAAACGAATTTTGCAAACCCTTAAATATGTTAAAAGCTATGTGGCACGTATGCATACTTAACGAACTGTCGCGGTACTAACAAATTCTTTTCATCACCAATTGTACTGAAACGTAACAGGGAGGGGACTTGTGCATCTCAGTTCTATAGACAGTAATACAAAGCGAACCATCTTGATCTACAGATCAAAGACTTGACACCACTTTGACACAATAGGATAATGAGAAAACCGGTGCATGAACGTGACACAGCATTTCTCTTACTGATGACACAAGGCGAATTTCAGTGCACGAAATTACTACCACGAGATGGAGTCGTGATGGACTAGAGCGTGTATGTGTTTTGAAACAAAATCGGGTTACAATTAGTCTCTCATTTCAATTCACCACCACCAGTGTAGATGTTCCCCCACCCCCACCCCCCACCCCCCCGCGAGTGATAGGACAATAACGGCTATGGGTGCCTAATAGAAGTCTAACAATGACAAAGGTTAACCTTGGGTTTTAGATATATAACGAGATAATTCTGCGTGTCAGTCCTCTCATTGTATGTTTTGTTGATCTTGGTAAGAGGATTGAACTCAGATAATTATTCAGATGAAGACGAAGTTAGTCAAGTTTTGTTAGTCATCAAATAACACGCCGACGCCACCTAGACACCGCCTATACATCCACTTTCAACATTTACCCCTGAGAATCATCCAGTCACGCTGTCCTTTCATAGCTGTTCTATATATAGAGTACACCATGCATTGAGTATCATCCAGTCACGCCTCCCTTTCCTAACTGTTCCAATTGTTGTGACACTAAGCAAACCGTAATTCAAATATAGCAGGAAACATCCATTCATGATAAATAATTTTCTCATTAAAATCAATCATTAACTTCTTAATGAAGAAGACATTGTGTATCACTACGCTTAATGAAGCTGGGTGTGGGACTTCTAGCTCATTACTGTATGGTAAGACTATTCTAGGAAGAAATGTGGGATGAGGGATGAGGGATCGTCTGTGCTGTAGAATGAGGGGTCGTCTGTGCTGTAGAATGAGGGGTCGTCTGTGCTGTAGAATGAGGGGTCGTCTGTGCTGGTCGTCTGTGCTGTAGAATGAGGGGTCGTCTGTGCTGCAGGATGAGGGGTCGTCTGTGCTGCTGTTCTATATGAAGCTCGTGTGAGATTACTAGCTCATTACTGTATGGTGAGACTATTTTAGGAAGAAATGTGGGATGAGGGATATTTCTGGATATTGGTTCCATTGTTTTTGCTAATTGGAGCATGAAATATGGGTTTTTCCGGGGGTGGGATGTAGGATGTGGGATTTCTGGTCATTGGTTCCATTGTTTTTGCTAATTGGAGCATGAAATGAGGGGTCGTCTGTGCTGTAGAATGAGGAGCCGTCTGTGCTGTAGAATGAGGGATGAGGGGCCGTCTGTGCTGTAGAATGAGGGATGAGGGGTCGTCTGTGCTGTAGAATGAGGGATGAGGGGTCGTCTGTGCTGTAGAATATGTGAGGAGGAGCTGTCTGTGCTGTAGAATATGTGAGGAGGAGCTGTCTGTCCTGTAGAATGAAATTTATATCTACTAGCGATAGCCATGCATCTGCCCAGACAACTGTAACTGGTTCCATTGTTTGTTTATATTTATTAAGTCACTCTCCAAAACGTAAATTTCATTTAGCTTCTGATGCTGTGATGGAATAGGAGGGTGGCTTCATTAATTATTTATATTTTAAGCATTTGTTGTTACTGATGCTTAAAACATGGTATGTTACGATTATATACTTACTTATGTTTATATCTTCTCATTGTTTTCTCTTTGTAGGTCCAGAAAATCAATCTAGTTATTGTTATACACACATCTTAAATTCGATAATATCTCAATCATTTACAACTCCAGTATTCACCTGGGTTTTTTTCAGAACTATTATGGTTCAAAACGAAGTTTAGTTAGACATCAGAAACAATCAGAACAATTTCTCATGCTTTTTGGATTCTTTCACATTTCTCAACACCAGGATGCAAACTCTCGCTAACGATTTAAGAAATATATCGCGGCATGCCTTTGTCAATTTGGCTCGACAGTATCCCGACCCCGATATGTACAATTTTGTTGAACAGGGATTAAGAGGAGGCGTGGTATCTATCAATCGTCGCCACGCCCAAGCCAATAACAAATACATGGGTGACGATTTTTATCCTACCCAACCTGTATCTTATCCGCTTACCTCGATCTAAATAACTTGTACGGCGCTGCAATGAGTAGTGTATTTAGTCAAGGAGCTTATGGGATTCCGTGAAAGTTTTTTGATGAAAGCACATCATATGTTCTTTTGTGTTTATATGTTAAAGGAGTTTAAAAAAATGTTTGGTTCCAATCTGAATATTGATGCGAAAGCTATTTTTAGCTCAAAATCCAAGATGGCCGCCAAAATTTAACCGGGAACTGCAAAAGGTGCAAAAACTCGGAACAAAACAATGGTTTTAATATAAAAAACCATGCATATTTGGTTACGGAATATATTTCTCATATGCTGTAAGTCACCAGATCTTTTTAGTTTTAACTGCCACGAGGGAAGGTTGTGTAGAGATAGGCTTCGTATCTACCTCGAGGGAGACGTAAGCTATATTCTAGAATGCGATTTGGAATATCCTCGGCACTTGGCTCTGTCCATAATCCCTGCCACTTGCACACCTGAAGGAAAGTCTTGTCACTCGACTTGGGGTCAAAGGCACCTGTGAAGATCCGCGTTAGAATTGATCTTCAGTGATTGAGTGAGTGAGTGAATTTAGTTTTGCAATTTTTTTAGCAATATTCCAGCAATATCACGACAGGGGACACCAGAAATGGGCTGATCTTCAGTAATCCATACTTGTCGTAAGAGGCGACTAACGGGATCGGGTGGTAAGACTTGGTTGGCACATGTCATCGTATCACAATTGCATTGATCGATGTTCATGCTGTTGATCACTGGATTGTCTGGTCCATACTCGATTACTCACAGACTGCCGCCATGCGGCGTGAAACTAAACTCACTCACTTCACTGGGGTCAAAGGAGAGAAATCCAGAGGAACCAAACTGTTTTCAACGTTGAAAGACTCGGAACTTTTCAGTTGTATTAACGTTTGGGGCTGATACTGACCAAGATTCACAAAGTACTGAAGTTTTCTCAGAGTAAATGGATGAAACCTTATATCGATCTTAACACTAAGTCTTACAAACGTAAAGAACCCACAGATGACTTTACAGTTTTATCTGCGACAAAGCTCCGGGTGCCATGGGTGAAAAGCGCACTGCCAAAGGTGTTCAGAAATAAACATCTACGACGCAACGCGTACAAAAAATGAGAAACATCAGTCTTCAGGTAGTTATAATCAAATTCGTTTTTTTCCATAATGAAATATAGACTGTCGAGCTAACGATATTGACATTGACATTTGGACGATGGTATCGAATCCAGATACGTCGTATTAAATATTGTATATATGTGCGTGCGTGCGTGTCGGCAGAAGAGCAACTGGAGTGAACATGTCATTCACTTATTCGTTTTGTCCATGAGCCTTCGTCGGGGATGCTCTCGAATGGTAGCTGAGGATGGTGGACAAGAGACGGAAGACAAAAGCCAGCGGCAGAGTTAAAGACAGCAGCAGCCATTTTTATTGTGGTTGGATAATAATGGTTGAAAGGGTACATAAAATGGTAATCACGTGACAGAACGCACACCGGGACCGAGTGGCCGATGTTCCCGATGCGTTGATCCGATCTGTCATTTGCACGAACAGGCAGTTAGGACGGCGATTCTTCATCGTCGACGTAGTCGTGGCTGAGGCGACGGCCTTGGCCGACGCCCCGACTTGTCGCACACTCCGTCCGCTCCTGTCGATGATCTGGGCCCGTCTCCTCTCGTCTTATCTCGTCTTTCTGACTGGTCTCTCTAACTAACCATGTCAGTCCGGTTTTATACATAGGGACATTACGCCACGTTGTGCAAGGTCACTGACATATGTACATACGCAAGATCCGCAGACGTAAGGAGGTGTTAATTGACATTTACTGATAGTCAAAGTCTTATTTATTGTCTATAGGCCACAGGCCCGTATACAACATATGCACAACTTTTACATACATTTACACATGTATACAATAACAAAGGTTCAGTTAACAACACATATATATAATGACATAGTACATGGAGAAATCATACAAAAATATATATTATTATCTTACTGAATTGACAGGTATTTTAATTCTCTTAGTTCATATGCACGGTGTAAATATGTGCATAATTTTCTTGGAAGTGTTTCTTTATTAGTAGTTAATAGGGATTCAACTTATAATTAGGTTTTGACAATATACAGATGGTAAATATTTTGATCGAAGAGCATTATAGACATTACAAACAAATAAAAAGTGGTACTCATCTTCTACTCCTAAATTACACAATTGACAGTTGCGTTCCGTTACATTAATATTTTGCCATCTACCTTCATTTTACTTTAATCTTAGCAATCCACATCTAAATTTAATCAATATTTTACGGTGTTTTCTGTCGACAATACATGATACATAAATATTTTTCGGGAGCTAAAAGACTTTTAAATTCTCTATACATACAATATCGTGAGCTGTTATTTAATATACACGTCCATGACTGGAAAAACTGATTGCAACTGATTTTAATTCATTTATAAAAGAAATTTTATCACCAACCGTCTGCGTCTGCGATAGAATTAAGAATTAAGGATCCTGCCCGGAGGGGGGGTTATGATATGAGGGGATACACCGAATGTTTGCTGAATACATTAAATAGACATACAGGATAGAATTTCGGTGTGATCTGGACATATATTGAAACAAATATGTCGTTTGAATATATGAAGTTTTACAGAAACTTATTGAAATGGTTCACTTTATGACAGTTTCATAAAACCCCGGTGTTAGTTCCCACAGTAATAATGTTCTCACTTATCGTTTTCCTAAAACTCAAACATTCATATCACTTTCAACACATATTATTTGTCAGTGAATTGCTGTTTTGTTATTGAGATTATTATTTTAATGTTGATAGTTTTGGTTATTCTTTTTCAAAATAAATATGATGATATTTGATACTTGAAATAGAGTTTGCTCATGCAATATATCATTTGCACAACGTTTTGTATGTGTTCGTTTGTGTATAAACGGAAGTTTTTCATCTGAAGCAACGCTATTATGTGACCATAAATGTGACGTTATGAAAACTTTATTAGGTATGAATAACATATTGATTTATTCATATTGTCGTGAAAAAAACGATGATAACGATGACCTATATTTAATCACAGTTTACATGTCATGTGCGTCTTCACACGAAATTATTTTCTAGCCAAAAAAATGCTTAAAAAGAATTTTCATTATCACAAAAGCCAAAAATAAAGAATCTGAATGGTGTAATTTGATGAAACATGGGTCCTGTAATAAAACTGAAAGTAAGATAACATAACGTGTCAATAAAAGTATGGTCATCCCAAACGGGTAACACGATGCATAGTCCTAATTCATTCATCCCAATCCACAAATAAGGTCTCTAATTCCAGAAGACAGAAGACACAGTCAGCATCTTGTGTAACCTCCGCCCACCCGGATGACGTTTTCAACCCTTGTCCTCATGGAGTGCACAAGATGCTGAATCCGATGTTGGGGCATGTTCCTTTGAGCATATGCCATGTTCCTCTGTCGCCATACGCGCGTCCTTTACTAACCACAAGCAGGAAAAATCGGCTCTCGTCTGAAAAATGGATCTTCCTCCAAGAAGCCAGGCTCCACCGACACCGGTCACGGTACCACCGTAATCTTGCATCCATGTGGGCACGTGTCAACAAAGGTCTCCTGGCCTTATTCCCTTGCAGTTTTCTGTCCATTTCTAATAGTTTTATTTACAGAGTTGCTGATGTTGAAGTCATTGCCGTTTTAACATTGGACTTGGTGCAAAGGGAAATCGCTGAATACGTATAGGGCTGTGTCTTGTCAAGCTGATGTCTTGCGTGGTCTGCCTGAACGATGCAGATTCTTTATACCGTTTGTTTGGTGATATTTCCTCACTAATCGACTGATTGTTCAGGGGTGGTACCCTAATTGCCTGGCAATTTGTCTCTTGGGCAACCCGGCATAACCATACCTATAACTTGCCATCTTTTGGCTGACGTTAGTTGAGGGGGACCCCATAAGAGTGGTTTAATACAAGAAGTATGCATTTTAGCTCAGTTTTTTAACAATGATAATTGAAACTATATTGCCATGACAAGAAGGGTGCAAGTGTTTCATATGCTCCACACACTTTACCTGCAGCACCTGATTTGTTGCGTTTGGGACAAGTAATAAGTTATTGTTTTCATATATTTTCATAATGTTGTTATATAGCAATTTGTAAGATACTGAGAGTGAGTGAGTTTAGTTTTACGCCGCTTTCAGCAATATTCCGGCAATATCACGGCGGGGGGACAACAGAAATGGACTTCACACAATGTGCCCATGTGGGGAATCGAACCCGGGTCTTCAGCGTGTCGAGCGAACACCTTAACCACTAGGCTACCCCACCGCCCCTAGATACCAAGAGAAACAAATTAGGTGTTGCGATACGTTTTTTACCTATATATTAAAAATGCCTTTGCAGCTCTAAAGATTTGTCATATGTTTATTTTAAAATATTCGACTGTAAGATATTACCTATATTATTATACGAGTCAGAATAACAGGCTTTTAACGGGTATTACTTAATGCTTGTAAACGAGTCCTTGGTTTGTGAATGTCTACACCAAATACAATTGTCTTTGGGCACACTGGTAAATATCCTATTCATGCGTACAGGCTTAAACGTTGTATTTCTTACTGGTTAAAGCTCCTCTCCATTCCCTCTTCACGCTACCCATCAAAAGCCTACAAAATGTTACGAGTACCGAGCGTAATAGGTTTCATTAGGATTCTCATGTGAAAACAGATCTATTTAGATTTGGACTAGGCTATGCGTGGATATGGCAGGGAGTTGGAAATAAACATTTTTTAAATTTACTTGAAAGAAGAAGCAAAGATTGCTTTATACAAGAGTGCAATCTAAGACTCTACTTTTATTTATTCCCTGTTTAAAGAAAATTTCAAGTGTGAACCATATATACCCTATATCAATATTAAGAATGTAAGAATAGCCTTGAGTTTCGTTCAGTTTACTATGACTTAAGGTGATATAAGGGAAAGTTTCATAACAAACCTACTGTGTGCAATTATTGTAAATTAAATGTCCTGGAAGACAAATACCAAGTTCTGCTAATTTGTGATTATTATAATAACATTAGGAGCAAATACATACCCATTTATTTTACAAAACAACCATCAAAACACATATTTATCCAGCTATTGCCAACTGCTACCCGTATATTAATTGAAAATATTGCTTTGTTTATCTATCATGCTATTATGGAGAGAAAACCAGTGTTAACATTGTATATACTTATATTATGGGCCTGTGGCCTACAGTTCTGAATAAAGATTGATTGATTGACATAGATCAGTTGTGAAAACACCTTACCACACTGAAAATCATTTTACCTAAAATAGAAATTCATTTTTGGCAAGGCTGCACTATACAAAATGAATTTTCAATGTCAACACAACACATATAGGATTGATTCAGCTTTTATTGTAATGACTGAAAATACACAACATCAACAGTCATCATGTACACCCTTCTCTCACAGCTTGGAAAGACCAATACCTTCAACAGCACTTTGTGCTTCATCATATATTATCAACTGATACTGTTTCATGAAATTGCAGTAAGAGAACCCATGGATGATATATTTAGTAACACAACTATGTCGAATGTTGCCATTAAAGGCAGCCTCCATGCCCAACATATACTGCACTGACACAACTATCAGTGTGGATGTATTTCAAAACGAGTAAACTTTCCTCCAAATCTAAAGTTCTGTCATCTTCAATGTGATAAGAGAACATGTCATGCATCAACCTTATTTAACAATTATTTGTGCAAACTAAACTCCTTAATTTGCAAACTTTGAATTTGTGGTGACAACCTAACAACTAATATACTGTCGTAAGTCAGCAGCCAACAACAAAACCGTAACTTCTGTGACAATACCAGAACTATCTTATAGATCAGCTGAAAGCATTACTCTCTTTACTCAGGGTACCTTTCATATAATGATGGATTACAAAATGTCCATAAACTGCAGGGCAGGATAACCAGATTTCATTTCCATTTGTTGTGAAATCACAGGATATGTTATTACATTCAAAATTTGTTCTGATACATTAAACCCTGCATAGAGAACAAGTAGAAAATTACATTTTAACATAGCCTGAAATGGAGACGGAGATATGGTTTTATTCTGGCCTGATTGTTACATAACATGTTTCATTTCTCTATGGCTGATGTGATTCCCATCTAAGCATAGTACTGCAGGTTGGCCTTCTTCTTGGCTTGCACCTCAATGATAGCATCCATGTAGTCCTCATGGCTCAACTCAACCGCTTCACGACGCAAAGCAATCATACCCTGAAATACAAACCCAAAGGAATAGGTGATCTTCAAATACTAACTTAGAATAACAAACTGTTTGTTTTACACCACAGTCAGCTAGATCCCTGCCATGGCTTTGCAGATGTAAATAATTGAGTCAGTGAGTCAGTCAAGGGACAATGGCCACCATTATGAGCAACATCTCTCATCAGTGTACAAAGTCAAACCAGTCACTGACTGTCACCTTCTAATCAAAATTAGTCCCCTCTTTAAACAAAACTTTGAGTGCCTATTTTAGCCCATGACAGTCATAAAAAAGTTAACAAAACAGCTTCTTACGCAATGTATACGATACTCAAAAGAATTCTTGACAAAAAAATTATTGACAGACACAAAATAGTTCTCCATCCACACAATGTCTAATAGTTTTACTCTTTCAAGTTCTGCTGAGTGATACACATTAACTCTCATATGGCTTGAATAAAGCAGTTTTTAGTATGAACAAGTGTTTATATTTAGAGGCTAGATATTTCAAACAATGCTATCATGATTACATGTGGTTGTGTGCAATGACTAGTGTTGGGAATTGGTTGAAATCTCACAATTAATGATTGGTTCATTAACAACGAGGAAACTTTGAAATAAATTGGTTATCTTAATTTCAGATTTTCCTGTTCAGGTTGTTATTGCACATAAGTATAACATGATTCTCTGTTGTTTTTTGTTTTATTTAGAAATTGTGCAAATTGTATTAGCAAATTTCACATCCAATGTAAAATGATGCAACTTGCAACTTCCAGCATCAAATGTTTATTCGATTATTTCAATTAATCGGAACAGCACTAGTAATGACACAATATCATATTCTACTTACCGCCTCCACACAGACTGCTTTCAGCTGGGCACCATTGAAGTCATCTGTACACCGGGATAGCTCTTCATAATTGACATCCTTGCTGTAAACAAATCACCATGGCACTTCATGAGTTTTGTCACTTTAAAACATGGCATAAACAAATAATTTTTTTCATAAAATATTGTCTGTGGGTAATACAGGTAGACTAGACACTTCGCAACTGAAAATTGATTGCACATATCTTTGAACCATTTTCCAACACCTAAGAAAGTAAAACCAGTGCTGTGCTCACCTAACATTCATCTTCCTGGAGTGGATTTGCAGGATTCTGGCCCTAGCCTCTTCATTGGGGTGTGGGAACTCAATTTTCCTGTCCAGACGGCCAGATCGCAGCAGAGCAGGATCAAGGATGTCTACACGATTTGTGGCGGCGATAACCTGATTACACACACACATCTTATGAAGTCTACTTAAACTGTTATCTCAGTATAGAATCTAAACTATATCTTACTGGATTGTAAGCATTTTCAAAAGTAACAACACAGTCAGGGTTATCTCCCTTGTGTTTACAAGCAGTTTCTTCCAAATATTTTACAACCGTTTCTGTTGGGCAACCAATTCATCAAAGTGATATAACAAAATCAACTTTGCAACAGGGACAGTTTGGATTTTAACTATGACAAATTTGTAGGAATCATCAATTGTCATGTCAATAACATGACAATAAAATGTCAATCTTTTGGATAAGTACCACATCATTCAGGACAGTGCTGTAGCTTCCCTACCTTAACCTAACAGATAGTTATCCACCTTAGCCTGTGCAACCTCATATTCTTCACTGTTGAGGTGGCATATAATGTAAGTGTGTAGGAGGCTCTGAGGACACCAAAATATATAATACAAAATACAAACTTTGAGTCAAAGGCCCAAAAACACAGAGAAAATGACATATTCACAGAGAGTTTTAAAAAAGAATAGTGTAAAAGCTATATGAAATGCATGACTCAAACAAGACAAGACAGGTACTAAGAGAGCAATCATGGTGCCAGCCTATACTCAGTTGTGAGATCGACACAAATCTAACATTATCAAAAAAACAACAGGAAAATTGGAAATTTTAATATAAATTGTATATTTATATACTTATCCTATCTCACGACTTGCACCTCTCTCTCTTGCTTCGACTTTTAGTGGAACAACTGTAAACTTTTTCCCATAGGCCTCCTTGTCCATTCGCCCGTGCACTCCATGCTGCTCTCCTTAATTAGCTTCCTAGTTCCTAATAAAGCTTGCAGCATGCTCCACTAATTGCCCACGTGACTACCTTGAATGATCATTCTCATCTTGGAGCCAACGTTGTAATCTGAGTAGTGGGGAGGCCGGGCGGGCATCCATCGCATGAGATAGGATAAGTATATAAATATACAATTTATATTATAATTTCCAAACTTATAAACTTATCCTATCTCACGACTTGCACTTATCCCACGGTGCGAACAGCTGGTCTTGGAGCTGTGTGGACTGATGACAACCGTAGATAGCGATGTACAAGGGAGGCCTGTTACGCATGCACGCAACTCCTATGCTTGTAGTGGGTTCTCCGGAACCCCTTGGCTTACTAAGCACAATGACTCCCAGGGAGATGGGTGCTCCCGAGCGATGTGGTGTTCGACCGCAACCTTGTTCAAGACAAGGGACGCAACTCGGCAAGTAAGCGTCGCCTCGCAATGATTTACAAGGTACCCCCAAAATTAAAGTCTTGCAACTAGAATCGGGCCAGCCCCTGCTTCAAGAAGGCCCCCCAGACACCGACCGAGGCGGGTGAAAGAGAAACACAACTCGGCATCTCCAAGGTTTAACGTTCAGTTCCGGGGCACCATCAAATTGACCCTCACTCCTCTGTCTAAGCTTAGTCAAAGGATGTGCCCGGCAACTTTGGAGGCAGAACGCAACAAAATCCACTGGAATTTGGGAGTGTCACACTTCACTGACGTAATTGCTCCGTGGTGTAGAGGTCAGTAAGCGTGAATGTTGAACACCTCTGCATCGTCATACTGATTGTGCCTCAGGTCCTTGGGGCCACGCTAGGTGGCCGTATTCCGATGCCTTGGTATGGAGGCCAAGTGAAGTAGTTCTTAAACCCATATAATGAGAACAAAAGGTTGAGATCCAGTTCAACTTTTATTCAGTATATACAAGGAAGTAGTAACGCGACTGCGGAACCGTCCCTCATCTGCGTTGTTGGGCCGATGTAACCTGCTGAGCCAGTACAAGAGGTCTGAACTGGTGTAGTCCCTGGACATCTGTGACAGACAGGTCTCGCAGGTAATGTGAAGAGAAGACTGTATCAGAACGCCAGAAGCAACCTTCCATGATAGCGGTCAAGGAGCAGTTGCTATGGAGGGCTTTGGAGGGCCATCGCCAAGGCTATTCCACGAAGTCTCATGAGGATTGGAAGCTGCTGAGGAGGCAACCCTGCAAAGGTGTAGGCTCGCAGGATCGCGGGCACGCATCCAGAAGGCCAATGTGGTACGGAAACCCCAGTTCTTGAAGCGCTCAACAAGGGTATGAAGAGGTGCTTCCGTGAGTCATTTAATTTCCATCCTTGGAGGCAGCAAGGTAAACGTGTACAGCCCTAACAGGGCAGAGAGTTAAATCTTCAGTATCATCAGGCCCAAGAATGGTCGACAACGGGGGAATGGTAAACATGGTTTTTCGCAATGAAGTCCCAGCGGAGACACAGGAAAGCCTTGCCATGCTTCTTCCGCTCGAACCGCACCCGATTGACATCAAGCGCATGCAGTTCAGATATACGAGCAGCGGTAGCCAAAGCTACCAGGAAGAATGTCTTGAATGTCACTTGTTCGAAGTCCTTGTCTTCCAAAGGTTCATAATCTGTAGAAATCACATGACGAAGGACGACGGACAGATCCCAGGCCGGAGGTCTGAACTTCCTCGACTTGTCAGAGACTCCATAGGAGCGTAGTAGACTCTGCAACTCGGGAACAGTGGAAATCTTTGTGCCCGTGGTGGTAGCCAAAACCGAGTTAATGGCGGCTAAGAAGGTAGCTAACGTAGTACCCTTGAGTTTCTTAGTAGTGCGGAGATGCTGGAGAAACTCAGCAACGACCTGAGCCGAGGTGGAAGTGGGAGATGCAATTCCCCTAAGCTGGCAATAGTCTTCAAACTTCTTCCACCTGTTGTCGTACAAGGAATGGGTCAAAGTACGATGCGCTGAAGTGATAGCTGTGGCTAGAGTAGCCCTTAGCTATGAGAGACCTGAGGTGACCCGTGGCGCAGTTCCGAGTGAGGGTGAAGAAGTAGGTCGTCCCGGCTGGGAAGCGGTACTGGGTTTGGCTCTGCCAGGCTTCTTAGGTTGACGAACCAACTTCTCGCTGGCCAGAAGGGTGCGACCAAAGGCAGTAGTATGTTGCTGGTGGCCAATAGTTTCTGTATTACTTTTGGTAGCAGAGCTGGAGGGGGGGGAACGCGTAGGCATTGAGACCCTCCCATGATATTGCCAACGCGTCGAGGTCCCACGCCAAGGACTCTGGGATTGGTGATACGAACTTTGGAAGTTGGTTGTTGAACCTTGTGGCGATCAGATCTATTTTGAGGCGCTGATAACGGGTAGATCATCGACTGAAAGATCTTGGGCAGTAACTTCCACTCTGTCGGGGACGGTCGGTTGGATCGGGACAAGGCATCGGCAATCACATTTTTTACCCCGGGAATGTGTCTGGCTCTGGCTACGATGTTGAGTGAGTCGATGAAATGGAAGAACCTCATCGCCCATTGTAGCAGATTCGCTGAGCCTGTCGAGCTTAGATGATTTATATACCAAACCACTGTCGAATAGTCTGATTGATCAACAGACTGGTTGATTGGAGGTCTGTTGCCCAATGTGATATGGCTTGAATTACCGCCTTGAATTCCAGCTCGTTTATATGAAGTACCCGTTCGTCGGATGACCACAGCCCGGCCACTTGGTGGCCGAGGAAGTGAGCTCCCCAACCCATGAGGGATGCATCGACGAATAGGTGATGAGTCGGTGCAAGGGGCATCATAGAGACTCCGACGCAAACATTCCGTTTGTCGAGCCACCATTGAAGGACTGGACGAAGCGGTTCTGGAAGGCAAATTAGTTCCTTGGGGTTGTCGGCCTGTGAAGGTAAGGGCGTAGAAATCGCTGTATCAGCCGAAGTTGGCCGGGAATCGGGCATTGAACTTCATATTGAAGATGAGCCGGAGTTTGATGAAATTTTTCTTTGGAACCAAGAAGATGGGGGAGTAGAATCCTGGAGTGACGGCAATGGACTTAGTACCTCTATCGCGAGTTTGTCTAATAGCATACCTATTGCGGATTGCAGAGTCTGAAGCTGGTCCACGGATATGAGCGATGAGCCGGATGCGACGTCAGAGGTGGACTGCCAATAACGGGTAGCTGAAAGCCGTGAAGTAGCAGGTTGGTGACGTACGGATCTTTGAGAATGGTCCAATTCGGGGCTAAGACGGAAGTCGGAAATGTACACATATATATATTGTTTGCTGTTATATCTTTTGTTCACCTTTGTTGTACCAAAAAATTCCCAAATGTATGTTTGCTGCTGTTGATGCTTTATTACTCATCCCAAGAACTTGCACGGTCAATCAAACCATCTCCTTCTACTGCAAATCATTTAAGATAACTAATGAAACAAAATGTAAATAAGGAAAATCTAAAAATTCTATCTCTTAACTGCAGAGGTCTCAATAATGCTTTTAAAAGAAAACAGGTATTCAGGTTCTTAAGGCTAAAAAAGGCTAACATATTCTGTTTTCAAGACGTTCATTTCACTACTGAGCAAGAACAGCTCATTAAACAGCAGTGGGGCTATAGTGAATGTTATTTCAGCCATTTCGAGAAGTAATGCAAGGGGAACAGCTATTCTTTTAATAACAATTTTGAATTTAAGGTTACAGGTCAACAAATTGATATGGATAATGGAAATTATATTCTACTGACAGTAAAAATACATGATAGTGACTACACAATTATTAATGTATATGGACCCAATAAAGATTGCCCCGAAGTTCATTATAAATATCAAAAAATATGTTAAAACAACAAGAAAACGATAAATTTATAATATGTGGAGACTGGAACATGGTATTAGACAGTGACTTAGACACCTATAACTACAAACACACGAATAACCCAAAAGCCAGACAAAAACTATTAAACGCTATAACTCTATTAGACTTGAAAGACCCCTGGAGAGAATCAAACCCAGATAAAACGCGTTTCACTTGGAGACAACCAACCCCGCTAAAACAATCAAGGCTAGATTTTTCCTTGTATCACATAATCTCTTACAGGCAGTTACACAAACAGATATATCCCCAAGCATTAATTCGACCACTCAATAATCTCACTAGCAATATCTTTGGGAGATAATGATAAGAGGGAAAAGGATTTTGGAAGTTTAATA